CAGGAAGTCAAGGCTTAAGCTCATCTGCTCCCCTAAAAAAGCAGAGCCAGTGACCCCCTCCCTCCAGGGCTGCGCCCCACCACAAAGCCCTCCCTAGCACAATGCCAAGTATGGGAGCCAAGGCTCAGAGGGGTCATGACTTGCCCAAGGCTACACAGGTGACCTTGCCTTTCAGGATCTGAGGGATTCATGCCCAAGTGGCCACAGGGCTGGCTGGGGAAGATGTCTCACAGCTCCAGGTGGTGGACTGGCCATGGCAGCACAGGGGACCATCAGAACCAGTCTTCGGCACATTGGCTCCTGACTGAAATTGGTTTAATGGCTGAAGGCTTTTACACTCTGGCTCTGAAAGTTTCCACAAAGGCAATTTTTCCATGTTTTTAAAAATAGATTTGCTATAAAGATGTATATATTCATAAATAGGTAACAGGAACAAATCCCAATGCAAATGGCATCCTTAGCTGGCCGAGGTCCCCACTGTCCCCTGAATCTAAGCCTTCAGGGCTGATCGGGCCGGCTTTCTGGTATTCTCCAGGGAAGAGAACTGAATTTAGTGTCTGAACTTCCTTGGCTCCCTGGCACTGGGGCCACGACATTGGGGCTGACCCCTTGCAGGGAGGACAGGAGCCCCTGCCCAGCTACTTCTCCACTGGGTGATTTGGAAACGAGAGAGAAAACTGCTCCCCTTTGGCCCCAGAGGTCAGGCTACTGGGACCTGGCGTAGTGGTGGGCAGAACTGGCCACTGGTTCTGTTTTCTTTCCCACACCCTTCCCTGTCTCCATACCCAAGTCCAGGGGGCAGAAAGCACAGAGCCTGAGGACACTGGCACTGAGACTGGAGGGGTGGTCGCTGCTCCCTAGGAAATGGCTTCCACTTAACTGTAGGGACCTCATGGCCACAGGGCAGGGAAGGACTTCTTCTGCCAGGGACTCAGCTGTGTCCTGCTGTGTGTCTTTGGTGAGATTCTAAGTGACAGGAATGAGAGGGAGGGATGAAGATGGCAGCAGAAGGGTCAGGACAGGGAGGCCAAGACAGCATAGAATGTTTAGCCGGGACAGTGTAGGATGGACAGGAGAGAAGCTGAGGCTATGTGGACACTGTTCGAGCGCCCTGGGATCCCCAGACCAGGTGCCCTTTCAGACATGCCACTGAGCAGGCCCAGTAGAACTGGAACCCACTGAACTCAAGTGAGAGTACAAGGATACGGGTACGGTGGTAGAAGACAGGAACGTGACAAGGGCAGTCTGGTGAGGCAGGAAAGTAGAGGGAGCAATGGAAGTACTAGGGTGGGGTGGAAGTAGACAAGGAGGGATGGGGGTTCTGGGGTGAGAGAGAAGGCAGGCCATCCAGGCAACTTGGATTTCTGAACTGGGCACAAGGATACTTCTGTCCAGGGTGGTGGGGTTTCCCTCACCCACATCCTCGATACTTCAGACTATGAAAGAGACAAGTGCCATGGTGTTCTGACTGCTGGCCCAGCCAAGGGGCCACCACAGAGAAGAGTCCTAGTGGAGATGGTTCTGCTCTCCCTGCCCCTAGGCAACCTGTGATGAACAGTGGGTGGTAGTTCACATCCTAAGGTGACAAGTGAGCTCTGTCCCATGCTGTCCTTGGATCTGGGCAGACAGGGTGTCCCAGAGTGAAGGTGATGGTTGCAGTGTCTGTCCCAAGGCAAAAGACATCCAGGCCTCTGGGAGGCCCCAGTGCTCTAATGACCACCCCTGATCCCAGTGTGCTCTGTCACCCAAGAGCAGGGCTTTGCAGGGTCACCCTCCAAGTGACCTTTTTGTGCCCAGGTAGACTCAGCTCTACATGTCCTAACAGTGACCCCAGAGGCCTCAGCCCTGGCAGAGGTTGCAGGCTCAGGTGCAGCAGTGGAGGGCCAGGGTGGTGCCAACAGCACAGGCCAACTGGAACTAGCAGAACGAGGCTCACCCCAGGCCCAGCATCACGGAGGGCAGAGGCTCAGCAGCTGTTGGGAATGCAGCATGAGAATGTAGCTCCTCACCCACCTGGACCCTGCCCCCCATGGGCGCCATGCTCACCCACCGACCCAAGTCTCAGCTGGAAAGCAAGTCCATGCCCCAGCCCCAGGAAAGGGTCTTCTGTGGCCACTGTGCTTGCAGTACGGCAAGGACCACCTGGGTGGTACACGACCACCACCACTGAGTCAATGAACCCCAAACCTCAGAGAACAGCGAACAGCCAGGGCCAAGGTACATAGGGAGGATCCTGTTCCCCCTGTGCAGTGGATGGTGCTGTCTTTTAGGGGTCCCCACCTGCTGTCCAACCTTAGCACCCTGCATAGCTTGAGACCATTACAGGCCTGGGGTATGAAAGTCAGCTGGCCATGCCTCCAGGTGAGGCCTTTGTTATTGAGAAACCGTGGGCTTCCTGGGCCTCTAGGGAGCAGGTGATCATGAACACAGTGGCAGGAGGATCTGTGAACCCAGGAATGAGGCTGGGCACCCAGGGCCCCTGGGCCCTCAGACTCAGGTGGCTTTGAGGCTTGTTGCTGAGCACCCAGCCCTACCTTGAGAAACTGAGCATACCCTCCACTGCTCTTCTGCATCCTGGTGCCTCAAGGCTGCTGCTTCTCCCTTCAGTGTCCTTCTCCTGCCAGCTCCTAGCCCCTTAGGCCGAAGGCTTAGTCACTGTGGCCATATCCAGCTGCCACGGGCCATGATACCCACACTTGTGCTAATGAAAAATGAGAAGCCACATGGAGAACCAGTAAACTGAGATCTTGATAGGGAAGCAAGCCAGGCCCAGGGGACTTCCAGGGCTGTGGCAGACATGAGGGAAAAAGCCACTTTTGGCAGGGGAATCAACAGGCTACACTCAAGAACTGGTCCAGCTAGCTCCTGCTCACTAGACTGGACAGAGAACCCAAGAGCCTGGCATAATCTGGGTACCAGCTGCAAAGTCAAGTTCATTGGGCAAAGAAGAAGATGGCATGGGGCAACCCATCCCACCCTGGGGTCAGACAGGTTGCAGGGCAGTCCTAGAATGTAGAGAACACACAGCTCATTGTCCCAGCCACCAGGCACTGCAGGAAGTCTGGTTCCTCCTTCCCAGCATCTCCTTCCAGTGCAGAGCCCAAGAGAAGGAGGGAGCCCAGCCATGCCCGTCAGCACCCACAGCCCCAGCTCTCCCCAATGTCCTTGCTATCCAGATGGATGAGGTCGGTGCTTTTCTCACTGAACATAGGGCCCCCATGTCGCATGATGAGCTCAGTGGCAACCTGCACGAAGGCCTCCTCCACATTGCTTGAGTCCTTGGCAGATGTCTCAATGGCACACAAGATGTCATAGTGCTCAGCCAGGCTCTGTGCCTCAGCCAGCTGGACCTCCCGAAGCTCAGCCAGGTCAGACTTGTTCCCTATTGTGGAAAGACCAGGGGCATCATGGTAAGACCCACGAGGGCCGGAGGAGCCTAGCTCTGCCAGGCAGGGCCACCCTGACAGCCCAGTGCCACATCATCCCTCTGTCAGCTCTACACCAGGGCACAGTAGACTGTGTTTCTTTTTTTCTTTTTTTTTTTTTTTGTGTGTGTGTAACCAGGGATTGAACTCAGGCCCTTGCGCTTGCCAGGGAAGCGCTTATTCCACTGAGCCATCTCCCTGGTCCCCAGTAGACTGTGTTTCAAGAGAGACTTTCCTATCTGAGTGTGGCGATGCATGCCTGCAATCCTAGCCCTTGAGAGGCTGAGCCAGGAGGATTGTTGAGAGTTTGAGGCCAGCCTCGGCTATATGGTAAATCAAGGCTGGTCTGTACTACATAAGCAAAACCTTGTCTCAAAAGCAAACCCAAAACTAGGCATGGTGGCACATGCCTATAATCCCAGCACTTGGGAGGCTGAGGCAGGAAGGTACCTGTGAGTGTGAGGTCAGCCGGGGTTACATAGTGAACTCAAGGCCAGCCTGAACGAGAGTGAGACCCTATCTCAAAAACAAACAAAACAAAACAGACATTCCTAAGTTTGAAGCTCTTTTTCTTTTCCCCCTGGCATTGGGCATGGAACTCAGGGCCTCATCCATTCTAGGCAAGGGCCGTACCAGTGAACTTCACCCCAAGCCTTTTTGATTTTTGAGTAGGGTCTCGCTGAATTGCCCAGGCTGGCGTCTCACATGTGATCCTCCTGCCTCAGTCTCCCAAGTAGCTATCTTACTCATTTTGTTCCCTAGTCTTAGGGATTAAACCTAAGGCACCATCATTGAACTATATCCCCAGTCCTTATCTGCTGTTACTGTTTTTACAATAAGGTCTCACTATGTACCCCAGGCTGGCCTTGAACTTGTGGATATACTCCTGCCTCAGGAGCAGGATGAGAAGATGCACAGGTGCTCCAGCTGAGGAGGCCCTGGGAGCCCCACCCCAACACCTGTGTGTGACCTGTGCTGGGCACTCATCTCTGGGTGGTCAGTGTCCCTGCCTTCACCAGAGGAGGGCAGAGCAGAGATAAAAACAGGCAGTGAATGTGGTAGGGAGGCTTATCATGCACTTACCATTTTCTTAACAAATCTGAAGTTGCTAACTTGCTTTTGGTTTTGTTAAAATTGTTATGACATTTATTCTTTATTCTCTTCTATTGTCCTTTGGGATGATTTTTTTTTTTTAAAGTTTTGTCTTTTTGAGACAGGGTCTCACTATGCAGTTCAGTAGTCCAGGCTGGTCTCAAACACTGTGCCCCACTAAGATGATTTTATTCTTTGTAAACTGTGGTTTTCGATGATTTTGCTTTTCTGAGAGTAATAGCACAAATTACCACTCTACTGTGGGTACAATCTGGGCTCCTCTAAGGTATTTTCAGGGAAGCGCTTATTCCAGTGAGCCATCTCCTCGGCCCATAAGGTACTTTCACTACTTGATCTCTTTCTAAAAGAATTTAGGCTCTTCTCTCAGTGTCCTCCCAAACCATTGTTTGAACATGATCATAGGCAGGACACACAAAGAAAGGATAAGAATCTGTAAGACTACTAATATTCTTAGTTATGTATGGTGTCACACAGCTGCAATCCTGGCTTACCTAGGAGGCTGAGGCAGGACGACTGCCCTCAGGCTGGCTTCAAAAACCTCTGGGCTCCAGTGATCCTCCTACCTCAGGCTCCCGAGTATCTGAGACCCTAAGTTCATACCACTATGTCTAGGTAAGAACTATCAATATTTTTAGATGTGAAGATGGTATTGTCATGTATTTCTAGATTCCTGCTGGTATATAGACAGAAGAATTTGGCACATGGGTTTGGTTTATAAGACAGAGAAACAAAGAGGTGGACTGAATTACAAATGGCTAGAGGAGGTTGATGGGGACCTGGGTCTGTTACATGGTTCTATTTTTGTGCCTGTATGAGGTGCTCTGTAACAGAAGGCTTTTGAGAAATGTCCTAAGTAAAGCAAGCAGCCAGGCCAGAAAGACAAGCTGGGTCTTGCCATCTGAGCTCATGGGCTTGGGGGACTTTTTGAATCCAGCCCCCATCACAGAAGACAGGGCTGGTGAGGCAAGTTTCCTGTGACTATGAAGATGCAGCAGGACATGGTAAAGACACTTGATACTATGGAGCAATCTTGTCTGTCCCTTCTGAAACTCGGGCTTGAGCTTGATCTCTACTAGGAGGAGGGGAGGGTGGAAGCTTAGTGGGACTTTGGTGCTATGGAGGCATCAGGAATGGGCAAGGTTGGAGCCCCCATGCTGATACAGGTGGCTTTATAATGGGCAGAGACAGGTGGCACACATGCCTATGTCTCCTGCATTGTGAAACTTGTGCCACCCAGGGACTCTGTCCACAGGGAGGCCACCATCAGATGCAGCCCATTGGCCTGGGCCCTCCAAAGCTGGAAGCCAAATAAATTTCCCTTCCTACATCACCAGCCCATAGTACCATGTTATCAGCTTCAAGGACAAGGGAATAAACCTTTGCTATAGAGTGCCAGCTGTCTTCCTCCCATCCTCTCTCATACTTTGCTGTGACTCACTGCACTCTAGGTGATGACAGGACCAGAGTGGGGAAGCTCAGAATTCAAACTCTGCTCTGTTCCTACTGGGCAAGCTCACTTCTCTCTGCTCTAGGCTTGCCCTATACTTGATAAATAGAAACATCCAGCCCTCAGGAGATGAAGGCAGGAGACGAATAGCCTGAGCTACACAGTAGGTTCCTGACGAGTGTAAACTACATAGCAAGACCCTGTCACAAAAAACAAAACAACAACAACAGAAAGAAAGAAAGAAAGAAAGAAAGAAAGAAAAGAAAAGAAAAGAAAAGAAAAGAAAAGAAAAGAAAAGAAAAGAAAAGAAGAGAAAAAAGAAGAAAAGAGAGGGAGGCTGAGACCAGATAATAGTAACTATGTCCCAAGGCCCCTTCCATCCCTGCCCAATCCCTGCTCACCAATCAGAAGCTGTACAATGCTGGAGCCTGCATACTTTCTTACATCCTCAATCCAATGGGGCACTGATAGGAAGGTGCTCCTCTTGGTGATGTCGTAGGCAAGGATGGCCCCATTGGCACTGCGGTAGTAGCTCTGGGTAATGGTGCGGAACCGTTCCTGGCCAGCTGTGTCCCAGATCTGCAGCTAAAGAAACAGAGCCCACTGTGAGTGTGGTCCCCAGCATGCTGGCACCAGCAGAGAAGGAGGATGCCCTGCAGGTCTGTGTGGACCATAGACTGCTATATCTGCAAAGAGCTTGGTTTCCTGCCAGAGGTGGCAGCAAATGTCTGTCATCCCAGCATTCAGGAAAGTTGGCACAAGCTTGAGGCCAGCCTGGACTACATATTGAGTTCAAGGCTGGCATCAACCACATAAGATTCCATCTCAAAAAAAAAAACAAAAAACAAAAAACAAACAAACAAACAAACAAACAAAACCACCCCAGCCTCCTAAACATGGCTGCTTCAAAGGAAGCCAGGCAGCTTCTTACCACAGCTATGCCAGCAGGAGCTCCGCAGAGGGCACTAATGGGCATTGGTTAAGTGAAGGCATCAAGCTCCTTGTTTCAGCCAACCTCTTTACCTGATGGAAGTAAGCTTGTACTTGAAGGCTCCCTAGGACTCTGCCATCACCCCAGAGGATGGCCTGCTATCTTAGTGCAGGCTGTGGACTGTTGAACCATAAGGAAACTCCCATGCTGGAGAGGCCCAATGCCTTTAGAGGGCAAAGACCTGGATGTTCATGCTCAAAGTACACCTGGAGGCAGCTGTCACTGCAGCTACATGGGCACACTAGGGATCAGGCTAGGTCACAATATGTCCCTTGCTCAACCCTTTTCTGGGGTCCCTAAAACTCCAAGACAGGGCTGCTCACCTTCCCTTCACTTCCTTTCTTTCCCAAGGTTGGGCCCAGAAGGCAGGTCACTATGTGCCTCCTTCTAGGCCAATGGAACTGGTGCTTCGTGGGGTGGCTCCCTGCCCCTTTGCTTGGCATACACCAAGGCAGACAGATCCCTTTCTGTCAGCACTTGAGTTAACCCACCCCAGCAGCAGAGTATCAGATATTCAGGATTAGTTGTAGCACTGGCACTCTGTGATAGGGGAGTTTGGAGTTGCAGTTTGTGCACTCAGTCTCCAAAAGGCTTACCATCACTGCTCTGGGTAGTACCTGCAAGCAGTGCTTGGCCCTGGCCCTGGGATAGCATCTGCCCTTTCCTTAGGCACTAGGCACAGGCAAAGGAACTAAAGCACAGGCCAGAACAGGCCACGGAACCCCTCCCCAGAGATTTCCTGTTGCCACTCCAGCCATGAGGGGCTCTACCTGGAGCTCCTGGTGTCCTAGGGGAGGCGACAGGTCCTCTCCATCCAGACGGAACACAGAGTACAGCAGGTAGAGGAGGAGCATAACCTGACGGGAGAAGTGAACTCCAGATGCCACCACCGCAAAACAGCAGCAGTATCTTCAGGAACAAGAGAGCCATAAACCAGGATGAGGAACACAGTACTGTCTTTTTTGTCATGGTGCTGAGGATTGAATCTGGAACACACTGGGCATGTGCCTTACTACTACACTATTCTTTAGCCCCAGAATCCAATCTTTTCAGGAAAGATGGCCTGCTGAAAGAAAATAAAAGCCTTGGAAATTAAAAAAATATGGTAACAGAGCTGGGGAGATAGCTCGGCAGCACAAGCAGTGGCCTGGCAAGCACAAGATCCCGAGTTCGATCCCCAGTACCACACGTTGTGCTTGCCCTGGAATCTTAGGCACACCATGCCAGTCCTGCAACTGGGCATGGTGGCAAATGCCTACAATCCCAGCACTGGGCAGGCTGAGACAGGAAGATCATTATGAGTCCGAACTATGTAGCGAGACTCTGTATCAGAAATAAATAAATAAATAAAATATGAAAACTACAACACAAGGGCTGGAAGATAAGGTAGAAGAAATCCTTCCAAAGTAGAGGAAAATCTGGGTGTGGTGGTGCACACCTGCAAATCTCAGCACTCCACAGGTTAAAACAGAATAGCTGTGACTTTGAGGTCAACCTGGGCTCCATAGTGAGTTCAAGTACAGCCTGAACCACATAGCAAAACCTAGTCTCAAAAAAACAAAACAACAACAACAAAAACCACTATAAAAGGCTCAAGTCAACAACTTCAGACAATTGCCAGTTCTGCTGATAACCTACTACTATTATGGACTACTGGACTATTTTGGGTTATTTTGCTGAATTCAAGTACCTACAATATTTGAACTGGCATCAAGTATGAAAAAGTCCTTTAAAGACTTCTCCAAATACAGCTTCTCTAACAACAATGAGGGAACACCCATCTCTGACAAAACAAAACAAAAAAGGGGGATATCCCAGGGGCTGGAGAGACAGCTCAGAATAAGCGCTTGCCTGGCAAGTGCAAGGGCCTGAGTTCAAAATAGTTAGGTTAGCTACACAGCTACCTTCTATTAGTTCAATGAGAAGAAAGGTTTGTACTAATACTGTTTATTTTTTTTTTAATAATTTTTTTTTAATTTATTGTGTGTGTGTGTGTGTGTGTGGCCAGCTCAGTGCACCAGGGGGCGGGGCTGGCTGGCATGTGGTGCTGGGGGATTGAACCGTGGTCGCTTTGCTTTACTAAGCTTGTTCTAAGTAGGTGCTTTAGACCACTGAGCCATCTCACCAGCCCCTACTAATACTGTTTAGATAAGACATTATGTCTGCATCTTTTCCTTTGAGAAACTACTACAAACACAACAATATGCAATGTATTAATTATTGTAACTATCCTACTAAGCTGTTTTGAAACTGTTTCATTGCTAGTTTTTTCTCATTAAAATGAATAAATAAATAAATAAAGGGACAGGGAGATAGCTCAGCGGTCTATGCACCTGCCTGGCAAGTGTAAGGACCTGAGTTTGATCCCAGGAACTAAGTTCAATCCCTGGTACCGAGTTTGATCCCTGGTACCACATGCCATGCCCAGTGTGCCAAGCCAGCCAACAAAACCAGGTATGGTGGTACGTGCCTATAATCCCAGCAGTAGGGAGGCTGAGACAGGGGAATCACTAGGAGTCTGAACTGCATAGAAAGACCCTGTACCAAATAAATAGATAGACAGATAGACAGACAGATAGATAGATAGATAAGATAGATAGATAGAATAATCATTTGTATCTATTTATTATACAGGAAATTGAACCTATGGGCTATGCAATGAACTATATATTGCCAGCTCTTTGTTTTTTTGAGACAGTGTCTAAGTTGCTCAGGCTGGACTCAAACTTGTGATCCTTCTGCTTCAGCCTCCCAAGATTTATAGATGTGTGGCATCATACCTAACTTTATTATATTCATAATGCAATTAATATATTTAAATATTTTAACATGATCTATTCAACAACTCGATATTTTATTCTATGAATAAATTTAGCATATAAGAAATATTATTAAACAATAAACATAAAGAATAAGTACACAATGCCTGCCTGGCAAGTTCAAGGACTTGAGTTTAATTCCTGGTACCAGAAAAAAAAAAAAAAAAGAACCCCAGGCATGATGGTGTGTTGCCTATAATCCCAACACAGGGGTACTGGGAGTCTGAGGCAAGAGTACCACAAGTTTGAGGCCACCTGCGAAACTTAATAAGCATACCAGATAGTAGTAAGAACAACAACAAAAAATACCAAGCATGGGCATCAGATTAAAAGAATTAGGGGCTGGGGAGATGGCTTAGTAGAATAAGCACTTCCCTGGCAAGCACAAGGGCCTGAGTTCAATCCCTGGTTCTGAAAAAAAAAATTAAAAGAATCAAAGTCATCATACTGCCATGACTACATGTATACCCATATTTAGAGTAGCACAATTCACAACAGCTATATCTTGGAAGTGGCCTTGATATCCAGCAGATGCTGATGGACAGAGAATGTGGTATTTACACACAACAGAACACTACTATGCCATAAAGGAGAAACTGGAGTCATGTGTAGAAAAATGGATGCACCTTGAGACCATAATGCTAAGTGAAATAAATCAGGCACACAAACTTAAATATTGCATACTTTCTCTTATATGAAAAACTCAAAGTATAAAGAGCAAAATGAAAGACAGATGATAGGAAATAGGACATAGAACTTTCACAAATGAGAAGGGGACCAAGAGATAGAGAGGGCCAAGATGTGTGATGTCCACATTCTGATTCCCCTTGAGGACTGTGACCATCATGTATTTCAACCATACACTAATAGAAATAAAAACAAGCAGGGAAGCATCATAGGGTATGAGGAGGGGTGTTGGTGGCCTGGCCAGGTGACCACAGAGCATGCTCTGAAGCCCAGAGACTTAGCAAGCATGCTCCAGGGAGAGATAAAAGTGCAGCAGTGTGAGGGTCCTTCAGGCTCATGGGGGAGAAGCTTGGCCCTCAGTGTGCCAGTGCTTTTAAGGGGTGGGCTTGTCAGGGAAAGGACTGGATCACTGAGGACACTGCCCTGGGAAGGGGGCCCCAGACGGTTCCTGTGAGCATGACTTGCTGTACTACAGCACAGCTCCTTCCTCAATTCCAGGCTCTCTGTCCCTCGCACCAGCATTCTAGCCATGACACCACTTGCTAGATCTTGATGTACCCAAGGAACCCAAGGGGCCTGCATAAGGACGGGGAAGTTGCTGGTGTCCTGCATGACATCTGAAGCTATGGGCTGAAATGTCTCTTTTCCAGGTAATGTTAAGGCCTCTGAGACTCTCACAGGAATGGAGTGGGCCACCCAGCACCAAGGCAACTCGGGAGCTGAGTACAAAAGGCAAAGACAGCATTTGCGGTGGAGAAAGGGATGACAGCATAGATGAGAGAAAACCAGGGAAGTGGGAAAGGCAGAAGCTCAAGGAGTTTTTGAGCCCCTTGGTTTTTTGAATGGGATGCCTCACTGCACAGAGGATGACAGAGAATAAGATGGCACAAAAAGAGCAAGGGCAGACCAGTTGCCAGCATCTAGGTCTGGCAAGACCAGGGTGCTGGCAGTAAAGGTACAGAGAAGTGACCAAAGTATGGAGATTGTTTGAAAATAAGGTTACAAGGGACTGCCATGCCTAGCAGGGACAGCATCCTTATCCTTCTCTGTACTACCAAGCATCAACACAGGGCCTGGTATGGAACAGT